GGGTATCGATGGATCGCAACGGGCCTGCGTGGGATTGCCAGTGCAGATTTCGAAGGGGGAGGCGAGGGACCAGTCCCGGCGCTATGAGCTTGTAGACATCGTGGGGATCGAAGTACTCGACTGTGAAGCGCATTCGCGCGCGAGCAGTTAGCTAAGAGCCCTCTCTGTCCCTCTCTCTCTCGGTTTGTGCGACGGACACGTTGCACAGGGTTTGGGAGGACATACCAGTGACTTTGGAGGTTGAAAAAGGCCGTTCCATCTTGAACAGCTCCTCCAGCTGAGGCGACAATTACATGTTCCGTTGCGACGGCAGGGCTCAATGGCGGGCGAGGTTGGCGCGGTGTTGTCTGCGTGTCCGAATGGTGATCCGTGTTGGACGGCGAGGTCAGTGAAGCTACGGTGGAGCTTCCGTCGCAACGGACGGCGTGGACGGTGCGCTGCGCAGCGGTGTGTGCCAGGTGTGAGAGGTGGGCCGGCCGGCAGCAACCGTTTCGGCGGATCCCTGTCGCGGGGCTCAGGGGGTCCAGGTGCAAGCTTCCCAGAGCAGTGTTCTTCAGCTCAATGCTCCGATGATCCGCCGAGGGCGGTGAGCTACCACCTGCATGGTCGATTGGCTGAAAATGACGCCGCCAAAGTGTGCTAATGGAGGGGCATGGCAGAATTTTGTGAGGTGAGCTGGGCTGGTTGCTTGAACCCCTCCAGCCCAGCCCAACCTTACGTCCCATTTTGGAGTACAAAGAGTCAATTTGCGCCCACTTGCTTTCGACTAATTTTGCTTTTCAGTTTTCAAAAGCATCTTTATCCAGTATACGCAGCAACATGTCCGGATTGCAAGCCGTCAAGTATACCCGCGGTCGTCTCGAGGTCCTCGACCAGCTGAGACTGCCTCATGAGTTTCACTATGACGATGTCTCGACCAGCGAGGAGGCCTTCGACTGCATCAAGTCCATGAGGGTCCGTGGCGCCCCGGCCATTGCTATTGTCGCAGCTCTCGCCCATGCCGTTGAGCTTCACAATGGAAGCTGCACCGCCTCGTCCGCTCAGGACACCGTCTCTTACATCGACTCTCGCCTGGACTACCTCAAGGAGAGCAGGCCTACTGCGGTTGACCTGACCAATGCCATCCTGCAACTGAAGGCCTGCATTCGCAGCGCCCCACAAGACGACCCCAAGGCCATCATCACTGCCTACATCGAAGAGGCCGAGAAGATCTTGGAGAAGGATCTCCAGACCAACCTCGCCATTGGCAAGCATGGATCTGAATGGCTGCAGAAGAAGGCCGGCGCCTCAACAGAGAAGCAGATCTCGGTCCTCACACACTGCAACACCGGGTCCCTAGCTACATCTGGTCACGGCACCGCTCTCGGCATCATCAGGACCCTCTTCTCCGACAACCTTCTCCAGCACGCCTTCTGCACTGAGACCAGGCCTTACAACCAAGGCAGCAGACTGACGGCTTTTGAGCTGGTTTACGAGGGCATTCCCAGCACTTTGATCACCGATTCCATGGCCACAGCTCTGTTCGAGTTGAAGAAGAAGGAGAAGAACATCGCCGCCATCATCGTCGGCGCCGACCGCGTAGCCCGTAACGGTGATACCGCCAACAAGATCGGCACCTACCAGCTCGCTGTTGTTGCCAGATATCACGGAGTTAAGTTTATTGTTGCAGCCCCGACGACGAGTATTGACTTGGTAACGGCGACTGGCAAAGACATCAAGATCGAAGAGCGCAAGGGAGATGAGTTGACGCAAATAACCGGCGCCATCGTCAACGCTGACGGTACCGTTGATACTTCACGGACAGCCCGCGTAGCTACGGCCGACCAGCGTGTCGGCGTTTGGAACCCGGCCTTTGACGTGACTCCTGCCAGTCTCATCGATGCAATTGTCACGGAAAGGGGCGTTGCGGAGTCGGACCAGGACAAGATTGACCTCCGCAGGGTTATGCGGAAGGAGTGGGAGAAGATTGTGGGACCAGTAGATCTATAGATATGGAGTCCTGGTGATTACAGAGATTATTGCGGTCAATGAATCCAAGTGGGCTACTTGAGGGCGTGAAGGATCAGCTTCTGGAATCCCGTAACGGCACCTTCGAGGTCGGCGACAGTGAGATTCTCATTGCGCCCGTGAGCAACCAGAATGGTGCCAGGCCCGTACAAGTAGCGCGTGTGCGAGCCTTTCAAGTTGGGAATGTCAGTGCCATAGTTGGCGACTATCGTCTCGAAGCCTAGAAGTCGTGTTAGCTGACAGTGGGCCGAAGGTAAAAGGTTGCTGCCACAGACCTTCAACATCGCAGTTGGCCTCAACAACACCGTATCCGTGCGTGCAAGTCAGCTCCAAGTCCTCTGCGTCAGTCTCGTCAAGAATCTTCTGGATCCTACCCTTGACAATGTTTCCGCCGTCCGCCTCTGGGCCAATGGCAACGCGCACAGCGATGCGAGCGAGGGAGGCCTCAGGGATGACATTCTGGGCAACACCACCAATGATCTGGCCGACGTTGACAGTGGTGTTTCCCCATTTCTCGCTGCTTCCGAGGTCGGTAGAGATGATCTTGGCGAGGGCCTTAACCATGATCTCGTTGGCGGACTTGCCCAACCAAGGGTATCCCGAGTGGCCGGCAATGCCCTTGGCCGTGATATCGCAGAAGACGCCGCCCTTGTGGCCGCACGCCAGCTTGGATTCGGTTGGCTCTCCAAAGATGACGGATTCAAACTCCAGGCGGGGTTCAGTCTCCTGGAGAGAGTCGGAGAAGAAGCGCATGCCATCACCAGTGTCCTCCTCGCCAACGACGAACAGGAGCATCACATCCTCCTCCTTGACCTTGTCCTCACTCAAGAGGTCTTCGAGTGCAATGATCTGAGCAGCGACACTGGCCTTTGCATCGACGCTTCCGCGACCGCTGATGCGAGTCTCGGAGGTGATCTTCTCATCAGAAATGCTGTAAGGGATATGAGGCGGCACGACGTCGTAGTGAGACGTCACAACGATACGGGGCTTAGGCTGGCGCTCGTTCGATTTCCAGGCGAGAACGTTGAAGCGCGGGGTCTCGTTGTTGTCCTTGTTGCGCGGGGGCAGAAACTGAAGATGAGAGATGTAGCCCCGGCCGGTGAGGTAGTCGACGAGGAACTTGCCGGCCTCGCTCTCGTTGCCCGAGATTGAGGGGATCTCGATGAGGGAACGGTGCAGAGAAATGAGGTCGTTGCGCCAAGAAGGTGCTGCATCGGACGTGGCCTCCGTGGCGGCTGCCGGGCCGTGAGGAGTGGGCGGAGCAGAACCGGAGCCGAGCGGTTGCTGGATGCGGGAGGTGGCAGCCAGCCGGAGAAGGGCGGCAACGGCCAGGAGGTTTGGGATGTACATCGCTTCTGCAGACGGCGGCGGCGGCGGCGTTGTCAAGATTGAGGTTGGTGAGACTCAATTGGTGTAAAAGAAAAATAGTGCGCCTTCAATGGCGGGCGTGGGAGCTCTTTTTCCACTGGCTCTGGTAATGATAAGAGCACAACACCACGTCCAAGAGCGAAAGACTGGGGACCGGACAGCTGCAAACGGAGCGGTGTCGGAAGGAGAGGGTCGCAGCAGGAGCTTAGTGGACGGAAACAATTCCCCGCGGGAAGCAATGAGGTCATTCCAGTCAGCTCTGCCACCATTGGGTCCAGCCACATGCACGGGCTCTGGAGCTACCTCCTCCACCTTACCTAGGTAAGGTAGGTACCTACTCGAGTGTGGCTTGATGTGGCATGCGAGCACCAGCCACCCCCATACTGCCGCATGTTCATGCAGCGACCCGAGCTTCGTCTGCTTTGTCCACCACGTCCGAGATGCTACCTCGACGGAGCCCAAGGAGCATATTGCTTGCAGTGGAGGGCGTCTGTGATGGAAGGAAAATGCCCGAGGCCTCGGTGGGGGGCCAAGCACCTGGATGGATGAAGTGGACTCCCGTCTTGTCAATCTGACTCCCGGTTGTTTCAACAATTGCTCGGCTTCTGACAAAACATGCATCGCCGTTGACTTTCGCAACCCGAGATGCATCTGGAAGGCTGCACGGATAGTTCGTTATATGTGACACTAACCAGAGCATGCTGTTCATCTCTGCATCTGAAGTCGCCCGTGTGTTGCTGCACGCTCGAGGTCAGCCCCCAGATGCACAGTCAGCTGCTGCAGGAATGCATCCAGTCTACTCTGTACCTAGGCACTCTAGGTAAGGCATTCATCAGTGTCTTCCCCAGACCACCCAGACTGCTGCGGATCATGGTACTGGAATTCTGACGGGCCTGTCCATTGCCGGCCACTGTAAATCTCACAAACGACTGTGGTGTTTCCCCCTTCCACTGCAGGCGGCAAGTGGCGGCTCACCACCTTGGACCTTGCACCCTTTTCCCACCTGGGCCTCTACTGCGACCGAGTGACGGAGCACAAGAGCTGAGGTACAAAGTACCTGTGACACCTGGTCCCTGTCCGCCTCGCCTTAGCTGACGGGGACGCAAGTTGACTGGACTGACAGCACGTTCTCCGACCTCCCGTCCCCACTGCGGTGACCGGGTCCGTTCGTGAATGCAGCAGACGGGCTGCCACCAACGCAAGGCGAAGGTACTTCGTACCTACTTACCTGCACCTTTACGTTAGCAGCACCTCGACACTACCTGTGGTAAACTTCACAGTGCTCTCCCCCCCAGCCATTCGTCACGTCCCACCGTCACGACCGACGACCCTGATCTGTTCCCGACGACAGCTTCAATTGCACCTCCAGACCCCCTGCGACTGGCCCTTTCTTGACGCGTTTCCTGCTCGACATCACCTCCTCTTTGCATCGCCACGCTGTTGCATGCACCTTGCTCCTATTGCGCGCCGCTATTCGCCCACGAGACGCCGTCCTCATCATCCCCCTTCACGCCGACCGGACCAGACCCCGACCCCGAGTTGTTCTCCGTCCTGCCCGAGACCGCCGACCACGCCGAGCTTCGCTTCGGTCGGCCTTGACCTGACAGTCATCGCCAGACGGAGGGATGCAGGCGAATAGAGGGAATGCCGAGGCCCTGGGTCGAAAGGCCAAGGTGCGTTGCCTCCTGTCCCTATACCCTTCTCCCATGCTCGCGCCTCTGTCCTCGACCACCGATCAGCCCATGACGAGCCCCTGAGCAGAGCATTCGATTGCTCTGCGACACATCTACATTGACAACCACTTGGGATCAGTAATGCTAATGCCATGCTAGCTTGCTCGCTCGTACCAGGAGCTTCTTGAGTAAGTCTTGACCAAGACTTCCTCCCCATGATGCTGCTTTGTACTAAACAACAACTTCTCTCCCAGCGAGTTTGCCAACAAGGATCTAAGCTCTGTCGGCAACTACACCCTCGGCCGCCTGATTGGAAAAGGCTCCTTCGGCAAAGTCTACTTGGCCACCCACAAGCTTACCAATGGCTCCAAGGTACGCCTACTACATTTATCTGGATGGGGCGATATCCGAAGCTGCCGTTACTCATATGACTCTGCGTAGGTCGTCCTCAAATCTGCGAATAAGGGCGATTCGAACCTCGCCCGAGAAATCCACCACCACCGACAATTCGTCCATCCTCACATCGCCCGACTCTACGAAGTCATAGTTACCGAAAACTTGGTCTGGCTTGTTTTGGAATACTGCGCTGGTAGGTTTGCATTCGGTCTTACGAAGCTGCAAAAATACTTACCAACCTTTTGCAGGCGATGAACTCTACAACTATCTCCTCGAGCATGGCCCGCTGCCTGTTCACAAAGTCCAAAAGATCTTTGCCCAGCTCGTTGGCGCCGTCTCCTACGTACACCAACAATCATGCGTCCACCGCGATCTGAAACTCGAGAACATCCTGTTCGATAAACACGAGAATGTAAAGCTGGTGGATTTTGGCTTTACAAGAGAGTACGAGGGCAAGTCCAACCACTTGCAGACATTTTGCGGCACAATTTGCTATTCGGCACCCGAGATGCTCAAGGGCGAGAAGTACGCGGGAGAAAAAGTTGATGTTTGGAGTCTCGGCGTCATTTTGTACGCCTTGCTTTGCGGAGAGCTGCCCTTTGACGATGACGACGACAACGTTACACGGACGAAAATTCTTAGTGAGGAGCCAAAGTTCCCCGAGCACCTGCCCTTGGCTGCGATACCTTTGATCAAGTCGCTCCTATCGAAACGGCCATTGCTCAGACCCTCGCTTCCGGAAATCCTGTCGAACCCTTTTCTTGCCGAGCATGCTCCGGCTCAGCACGCAATTCTCAAGCTTACGAGGCCGCCGCCATTCGCGACCGTTTTGGAGAAGGAAACCCTGCAGCGCATGCGTAGCGCAGGCGTCGACATCGATTCGGTAATCGAGAGTGTTCTCGCTCAACGATGCGACGCTCTGGCTGGCTGGTGGACCTTGCTTATCGAGAAGGAGGAGCGGAAAGTGCGCAGAAGAGAGAGAAAACGTCGCGAACGAGAAGCGGAGAACAGGAGTTTGCGCCGCCTATCCGCTGCGTCTAGCAGGCTCGACCGGATTGCGCCTGTTCTTCAGGAAGTTGACGAGGATGGTGGACTGACGAATCGTTTCATCAGACTCGAAGACGCGCCCATTACGCCAAGAACCAGGGGCCGCTCAGAAAGGAGAAGCGCACATTACTCTGACTTCAACGACCTGCCAGGTCTTCCAGAGCACACCAAGGAGAATGGAAGTCCAAACACAGAGGAACCTCCGCCTCCCATCGACAAGGACTCCATTCGGTCTGCCAGTACGTCTAGAAATCGTCGCCCGGTGCCGCCCCCTAAAGAAGGGCACATCCGGAGCGCGAGATCTCGGGGTTCGACCCTTCACCTCGTGACCACGTCGGAGGCTTTGGCGGCTAACGGAACGCCAGAGCGACCTGCCGAGCAGCAAAAGGTTCGAAAGAAGCCTTCTCAAGCCATCATTGCGCACTGGAAGAACTGGACGCACTGGTTCTTTGAGAACACTCGTAGGGGTAGACATGCGAACAAGCGGGGTAGCCACTCCACGCCAAATCTGGTCGATAAGAACGGCGGTACCGGTGGCAGTAGCAAGCACTCCAAGGATACGAGCCCGCGGCCTCAGACGAGTCGACAGCCGACTGCCGACGGCGCTGTAGCACAGGCCAAGGCCGGACTTCCTCGTGGTGTAGTAGCCAACGGTCATGCGAATAAGGCGCTGCCTGGACAGAGAGGGTCTGGCAACTTTAGCAGCAGCCCAGCATCAACTAGCACTGTTACGCCTGGACACTATCCCTCGCGTATCACGACGTCGTACAAACGACAATCGTTATCCCCATCTCCCATGACACCTCGATCGACTATGCGTCGCTCCTCGGCAGGACTGCGGGGCCGCAAATCCACGTCTTCGTCCGTTTCATCCATACGTTCTATGCCCCATCACCACCACTCTCACTCCAAAGCTTCGTCGACGAGCTCAAACGGCTCTGTATCAACCAAGAACACACTAGGGCGCGGACAGTCACCCCATCATTCTTCTGTGAAGGTTCTGCCGGCCACTCCAACATCCACAGCGTTCCCCTCCAACATTCGTCTCGTACGAGGGCCCGGTCCTCCAGCTCCTCTTGCCCTCTTCAACGAGGGCATGCCGTCCGCCTCAGCGGGAATGCAAGCTCCGGGCTCGCCAAATCCATTCGCTCAGGGAGGTGGGATTTTGTTTGCCAAGCGGAAGCGAAACATCTTCAAGGGCCCCATGTTGGCCTTTGGCGGAGCGAACGCCAGCGGCAGCACCACCAGAAGCACAAGTTCCAGTCACTCAAGAAGCGCAAGCGCATCCGGAATGGGGCGCAGGTCTGGCGAAGCACCAATTCAGGAAGAGGAAGAGGGCGAGGAGGCCGAGGAAGAGGTTGAGGAAGTGGATGCCTTCAGCCCCGTTGTCGGTGGGCCTGGGGAGCGCATCGAAGAGCGAATCTATGAGGAAGGCGAGACTCCGATCGAGATACCTTCGCAAACTCAGGCCGGGTCAAAGTCAGCAGATGACGTGCCCCCGAAAACGCCCAAAACGCCCATTACTCCCATCACTCCTCAGACGGCGATCCCTCCGACGATCCCGACATGAACCAAGAAATCCCCTATTATTATTTGTTTACCTTTCTCAAGCGCACTTTTGAAAAAATACCAGTCTGGAATTTTGCTTTGTTGCGACTCCCACTATACAGGCCCGAATGGAATGGGCCGAGGCAAAAGCTCTCTCTTATTGTTATTTTCTGTATATTTCCCCTTCGGCGCCATGTACCATACTTAGAGAGGATACCTTGTACTAAACAGAGGGTGCTGATGCTTTTGCAATTGAAAAGGAGGATTCAAGCCAACGCCACATGTCTCGTCAAATACCATGTCCTACATCTAGTGTGTCTACTACGCCCTTCTTGCCTTGGCAGCCTCATCCAGGCCTTGCCTAGCAGCTACGATCTTCTCAACCGTCTCATTAGTTGCGCATAATGACGCATCAAAGGGTTTGAGTGTAGAGTCTCCCATGGTCGCCAACGCGGCCAGACCTAGGTATCCATGGTAGATATCAGGTGGTCCTCCTGGGTACTTTGAAAATCCACCGATCAGATGTTGTGTCTTGCTCATGAGGAAGCGGCGCGAGGGCACCTCGTCGATGAGATCAACGTGGCCCAACATCTGCATTTTCTTAGTAATGTTCACTGACTCCATCTTGGCGTCCACTTACCTGCAGTGTTCCTCCAACCCACCAGCAGTAACACGTATCCGCGACCTTGTTACACCGTCCGTTGAAGCCCACGAACCGAGTGTTCTCGTCCAGCGTAAGCTGTCCCAGCGTGTCGGGCAGGACAAAGTTGGGATCATCCTCCTCATCTTCCTCCTTTTCAAAGTAGTCAAACTGGCGGTAGACGAGGAACTTGACCAGCAGCTCCACGTCAGCGAGGCCCTTCTCGACGGTTGCACTCCGGTGCGGGGTGGCTCCCTGCGACGGGGGGCGGTCGAGGAGGTAGAGCGCGCTCACTGCGCAGTAAGCGTATCCAGCTGCACATCCCAAGTCAGCCCACCGCCAGCCAAATATTCATCATTGGGGACGTACCGTGCGATTCAAGCTGCGAGCTCTCGGCAAGCCCGCCGTCGTACGTCTGGCTGCGTCGAATATGCCCGACCATCGCGTCTACGTCAATGTCCTCGACCCAATCCGCGTCCCCCTCCTTCACATCCCCCCTCAACATCCACCGCGTTGCCGCCGCAAGATAGCAAAGTCGCATATCCCTCCCGCCCTCGATCCGCCCGTCATCCAGCACAAGCTCCCCGAAGCTGCCATCAGCTCTCTGCAGCCTCCGCAGCCACCGCAGCGTCTTGACCCTGTCGACGCCGGCGTACGCGCTCTTTGCGCCCTCCTGTCCGTCCGCGACGATGGCGAAGATCAGCAGCGCAAAGTACGTCGCGGCAATGTTCGCCGAGCTCGCGTGCCGCGGCTTCGGGGCGCCCTTTTCAAAGTCCCAGCCGGCGCAGACGTCCTTGGGCAGGGCGTGCGTCGGGGAGCCGCAGAAGCCGCCGGCGGGGTGCTGCAGGCCCAGGACGAAGTTGCGCGCGGCGGCGCGGTCCTCTGAGGTGAGGAGGTGTTTGTCGGAGGAGGACGGGGAGAGGATGTCGAGGGCGGCGAGGATGAAGAAGGTCAGGGCGAGGCGGGTGCTGTCGGAGCTGGTGTACTGGTGCGGGAGGAAGGTCTTGTGGCAGCGTTGCCAGTATTTGATGTGGCGCTCTTTTTCGAGCGGGATCGCGGAGTCGGCTGCCATCTTATATGGTTGCGATGTACAACGAATTGAGGTTCGTGGTTGGAGATGATGGAACATTCAGCATTCCCATCCCCAAAAGTGCCACGACCAAAACGTGCCAGTCCGGGATACCGACGGCACCTACAGGACCCCGCCCCCACCCCATCTCAGCTCTCAAAGTCCCTTAGTTCCAGGCGCTAGCAGGGAAGCTGCACCACTGGAAGCCTCGCCCAGCTGCGTGCTGCGGCAGGCGAATGGGAAGCTGCGCGTCGATAAGCCTCGCAGGTGCAGGATTAGCTCGCACATCCACGTCGATAAGACACATGACGGGATGCTTGCTTGGCCGACTTTTTGTCCCACGCGCCGCCGACTGGAACCCCCTTTACCAAGCTGCTTCTTCTTCCTCCTCTCTCCGTCGCAACACTCATTCTGACCCTTAACCTGGAGGAACGACCGCCGAAAGAAAATCAGACATCATGGCGCTCATTTCGGCAAAGACCATCATCACCTCGCTCTCCCTATTCCACGTCACCCTCGCCTTCTTCTTCCTGACGAACCCGGCCACCATCGCGGACCAGGCCTTGGTTTACGTGCTGGGCGAGGCCATGGGCATGGTAAATCCCCCCGCCGTCCCCTTTCTCTGGCTATGAATGCGTTGTTTGACTGACTTGAGAAATTTGCAGCCCCATGCCCGTAGCTTCGAGAACAAGTCTCCCGCCCTGGCTTTCCTCGCCGCCGTCCTTGGGATGCTGGGAATCAGCGACCTCGTCACCCTGAGCATGCCCGAAGAGATCTGGGTCGACTTCCACTGGGGAACGCAGGGTATGTTTTTCAAAACCTTCTTACGACCACTCAGCCAGCTAACTGTACCACTCCAGCTCCCGCCCGCCTCTTCATGTCCCTCGTCTTCGTCGTCTACACCTTCGTCTTCGGCCCGTCCTCGCCCCTCTACGCCAACGCCCGCGGCGCCCGCTTCGCCCACCCCAACGCTCACGCCCACAACCCGAACTACACCCCCTCGACCTGGGGCGGCGACGGCCTCAAGAACCGCGTCTTCCTGACTTTCGCCTTTCTCGAGATGGTGAGCTGGTTCTGGGTCTGGATCACGCTTCGCGAGGAGCAGGAGGCGATTGCGAGGGAGAAGGCCAGGAAGCAGGAGGCGGCGCACCCGGGTGCGTTCTAAAGAGGCGGACGGACGTTGCCGCGGGAGGTATTGTGGAGGAATCACATGCATCAGTGGAGTTGGACGAAGGCATCACGGAAAGGGATATACCAAGCGAGCAAGCACTTGATTGTAAAGAGACGGGTAGCATGCATGACAATTCTTTTGAACTCCTTTGCTTTTTTCTGATACACTGCCGCTCTTTTATATCTATACAAGGTCGGGTATGGATCTCCAAATGTCTCATCGCTTGTACCTAGAGCAAGGAGCAAGGCTACGAAAATCTAAACGCTGCAGCGAGACTCTTCACTCCCACTGCACCATCTCCCATCCCTTGACGTTCGTCCGCCAGCTGTCGGCGACCTTTTGCGTCCACACGCTGACGTGTCCGCCGGCGACCTCGCGGATCTGCTGGGCCAACTTGTCGCCGTCCTCAGCCTCAAAGGTCCACCTCCCCAGGCGCGCGCCCAGAGAGTCGCTCTCCTTCTTCAAGAACGCCACGCGCGCCTTGCCCTCCTTCAACGCCGTGGCCGCCGCGGCCTCCAGCGTCTTCACATGCGCCATCACGTCCTTGGGAATGTTGCTCTGTCCGGAGCGGTCCCGCTCCTTCTCACGCTCGTTGAACGCCACGATGTACGACGTCGCGAGCTTCACGGCCGCGGCGGCGTCGCGGAGCACGAAGAGGCCGTGGAGGGAGCCGAGCATCAGCAGCACTTGGGACTCATCCGCCGTCCCGGCAAGGGCCTGCGCGCGGAGGACGTCCAAGCCGGATTTGACGGCGGAGGCGATGCTGGAGAGCAGCTCAGGGGGCGGCGGGGCGCGGCTGGCGGACACGGCGAGGGGGATCAGGGAGGTGAGGAGGGAGATGATGTCGTAGTACATTTCCTCCTGCTGGGTGAGGTGCGTGCCGCGGGCGTGGAGGAACCTGCTCATGGAGGTGTTGAGGCGTTGCAGGGACTCGAGGATGTAGGTCTGTTCTGCGGCGGCGGCTTGCGCGGCGTTGGTGACCTTGTACGAGGACGGGGCCTTGTAGGAGAGGACGTCGAAGAAGGACTCTGCGCTGAGGGCTAGGTGGGAGCGGATGTTCTGCATGGAGGTGAGTATGTGGACGTGGGTGATGGAGAGAGGATGCTTACCGATGGATCGGGCCCGAGGCGCAGGACGTCCCAGATTGGCCTGCTGGTCGATGCTTCCAGGTTAGGCACGGATCCGTAGTCGATGATGTCTCTTAGAACGGTCTCGTCGACAATCTCCTCTGTCCCCATGTGTTAGTGTCATGAAGCTGCAATTGAGAGGTAGATAATCCTTACCAACCGCAGGCTCGTCAAAGACGGAATCGCTGCGAACATCCAGGGCTCGCCCAGCTCTCGACTCCTCCACGTACCCCATAACGAGGGTACAGCTTCTACGCAGACGCTCAATGTAGCCGGGAATGTCGAGGATCGCAGTGTAGCTCTCCGAGTCGAAGGCATCGGCCAGTCTCCTGGGCATTCTCAGCTTCAGGGATGTCTGGTAGTGAGCCTTCAGCCCTTGCATCAGGGCCCTTCCGGGGCTGTTGGGCGGCAGGACCAGCGTCGGGGCGACGGTCGACAGGCGGTCGAAGAAGTACGGGCCGAGGGAGTCGATGATTGTGCGCTTCACGTCCGCCGTGTCCCAAACCTCTCTCGCCCGCGACGCACAGCCGAGGACGAGGTAGATGCGGACCAACACGAGGGTTAGCCTGGTGTGCTTTGGGGTTCTGGTGAGCTGGTCCTCGATGATGAGGGCCGCTTGGAGGAGGCGATCTTGTCGGCTAGTCTTGGAGAGGGAAGTGGGGTTATCGATGCCGCGCTCGTGCAGGCCGCTCAGCCTGACGAGGCAAGTGGCCGCCAGGATGGCGAGTTCTGGTATGCAGTCCAGTGTTTGGCTGATTTCGGAGGAGTTGATAAGGGAAGAGTACAGAGAAAGCGTCGGCTCCAGAAGCATCTTCAAGCAGGCGGTGCAGGATGATGGCTTATTGGAAGTAGAGCAGACTATGCACCTCCAGTCATTTGCCTTCTTCGGGTCGTCGTTGGGAACGGGGACAATCGTCTTTGACGAGGACAGGCCGAGATACTGCAGCTTGAAAGCCAGCGTTCGTATAGCTGCTGACTTGGAAGCGTCTTCAGTTTCCTTTGCCAAGCGTGGAACATACTCGTAGGCGAGCTCCTTGATCTCCTGGGGCGAAAGGCGTTCGGCGAAACCCTTGACATCTTCGAAGCAGGCGGGTGATACGGATTCAACGTCAATGTAGCGGCATAGCTGCTCAAACTCGTTGGACTTTCCATCAGAGGCCGAATTAGGCTGCGCGAATTGGAAGGCGGCTTCTACCCTAGCCAAGTAGATGTTGCGCTTGTAAATAGATCGTGTGTTTTCCTGTGCAAGGAAACGGTCGATGAGCGAGGACACCTCGGTAGAGACTCTGCGTGAGGTGTCAGCTTCGGTTCAGCACAAGCAGGTAACGATATTTCATACTCTTGCGCAGATTCTCCTATCCTGCCCGCGGCATTGAGGAACTTCTTCCACACAGCCCAGTCGCATGCCAATAGACTCAGCTGCCCCTTGTCGTCGGTCGTTGACAGGCACTCCTTGCAAAGGTCGTATACTGTCTTCCACTTCTCCTTTCGCTCAAAAACTTCAGTAGTCTGCAGGAACAGGTCCTTGCGGCCTGACTTGAGTTGGTACACGGGGTTGAGCGTAGGGCCCTTGAGCGCGGCATCCCACTCCCCATCCGATGCGTGAGCCTCCATGATGCGATAGAAAAGAAGGATCTCCTCTTCGGTCTTGATGGCTCGGTCAGGGGCGTTGCCATTCTTCTCCGCGCCACTATGCTGTGAAAAAAGTCAGTCGCTAATTGTCGCATCAGGACGGGACCATTACCTGCTCTGTAAACTGCGCCGCGCGCTGCATCTGCTTCAGGGCGAGCATGCCGTAGAGCTGCTTTTTTCCAGCCGGGCATTGGTCGCTGATCTACATTCCTGTCAGAGCTGTCGCGTATCAATGAAGAGTAGGCAAATCTTACCGCTAGCAGATGCGTGACGGCAATATTCCAGAACATGAAGCTGCGCTCCGAGGGAAATGACCTGTCTAGAATGGCTGCAATCTATTTGAGTGAATTAGATCGAGTGAGCAGCTGTCGCGAACCCTCAAGACTCACTTGTTGCGCGCTGACGAGGTCCCAGTGCAGCAGACATGACTCCAAACACCTCGTTCCGCCGTTCTTGTCCTTGGGGTTGGCCTTCACGTAACGCAGCTTCAGGGGCCCAAAGGTTTCAGAAAACTCATGGTCCTCAAGCAGTCCCTCGGACGCCCATTCCAACAACTCAAGCGAGTCGGCATCTCTCACGGCGGATGCATCCTTGACGAGCTTCTGCAGGGTGATCAGAGGCGCAGCCTTTTCAAGGGGCGACTCTAGATGGCTCTCTGCGACGATTTTCACGACCTGCGTTGGTGTTTAGCTGCGGTTTCAAGACCCATGCGGTGGGTGAGTGTGAGAGAGTCAAACCTCATAGTAGGGATCGTTAAAGGTTCGAAATCGCTTCTCTGCGAGACGGATGACGTTGGCCCATTGTCCGTCGTTGAAGGCGGTCTGCAGCTGCAGATCGACGCCGCTCTTCAGCTGAGGCCGGTTCCAGGACATGGTGATGCTTCTGATCGGATGGCGGGGCAGAATTGGCTTTGGAGGGGCACTGTGCACAGAAGGTGCAGCGGAAGCTAAGGGATGTGGGATGCAGGGTGTGATTGGTCCTTCGGGTGAATATTAAGCCGAACACCTCTTCGATGCCGGGTGGCTGCCGTGTGTCCGGGTCCGGGTCCGGGTCCGGGGAACTGTCCTGGCTGGTCCCGATCCCGATGCGCCACACTTCGGATCTTCTGATGCCCGCGCAACCACGAGACCCAGGCCGCCTTTGACACTTGGGAGTTGAATTTTGTTCCGCGTGACCATATTACTCGTACATCATCATGACTCCGTCCCATGCATGCATATTTTTTACATAGTGTACAATATCCCGTGCCTGCCAGGTCTTGAGCGGGGGATGGCCGCCATCGCAGAGCGACACCCTCGAGGTTTTCAAGGGGCACCCGGATAAAACCAAGAGTATCTATATTCACCACCACGCCCCGTTCTTCTTGCGTTCTTCCTTCTTCTTCTCGAACTTTTGTTCTGTTAGTCTCGGTCTCGGTTGACGGGAAAGGCGGTTGGATAGCACAAACCCATGCTTTTTTGCAATCCCTGTATGCTCTGAGAAGGAAGTGTCAGCATACTGGTTCACTGTAGTCAATGCAGAGCGGGGATCAGAGAAGGCCGTACTGGAAGTAGTCGCCGCACATGGAGCGGTCGCCCCCGTTGCGGTGCAAGCACCTGATGCTCTTCTGGGCAAACTCCTGGCATGGATCGAAGTATTCGCTCTTATCCTTGCTATTCCGCCAGAGTTAGCAAGCTTGCATTGGAGCATGGATTGAGCAACAGTCTTACGCATCGAACTTGCGGCTGCTCTCCTTGAAACCCTCGTCGACCTTTTCGACGACGGCCTTTGATGTGTCATCTGAGGACGACATTGTTGCAGTTGATTGGTTTTTACTCGTAAGAAACGTCGTAAATTCAATCGAATCGGGTCGGAGGGATCAGTCACAGAGCGCCGGTCGTCGTCGTTGCGCTCTTGCGTTCGCGACTTGAACTTCGGCGGCAAAAGTTGATGTTGCGATGCGACGACGTAACGATTGAGCACGGGCCTGTACTTTGATAAGATAAGACATTCATTGATAAGATAAGAGCTTTTCCAGCAAAAGAAGAAAAAAAACCATAGTTCCCCGCACGGCCAAGCGAGCGAACCCAACAGGCTGCACGGCACAGCAGCACAGGGCAGCGAGCAGCTGTGGACACAAGCCTCCTTAAGATCCGCCGCTATGATTGACGGATGCCCGCTACGGTTACAGCGCACACACGCTACAGGTTCCCCCCAAACTCGACAACGGACAACTGCAGCCGACCAACTCCCAGGTTCCCTCCAGTCCGAGGAGAACCGGATAAAGGTGCCGTCCTGGCCGATTTTGCCGGCAAATTGAGAGTTTGTCCTCAATAAAGTTTCCATCTGTCTTAACTCTACATTTAAGGTAAAAAGGGGATATCGATGTCAGATCCTCTCTTTTGCATGGTGTTTAAACGAACGCCATCCAACTCTCTTTTGACATCCTGTCTTCCATGTTTGATTACTCTGTACAAAAAAAAACACTCATTTCACTTCTGTACATGCCCCCATACACACCACGCGTGCTTGGCATCGGCAAGTCGGTGCCAAGGTCCGAACAGTGGAGAGCATCTGTATGAGAGAGACACCGTCTTCTTTTTCAGAGGCCCAATCATCGCTAATCTGGCACAATTACGATTCAAGAGCTGAGGTGCTGTCATTTGCTGACATCCCCCAGTGTCTTAGACGCAATCCCTCCCGCTGGTGTTGGTTCTTGACGACAAGAGATCGTCACTCAATCACCCACAACACTCAAACTCACTTGCATTCCAACCTGCAGGAAATAGAGCGTTTAGATGTTGCCAGCGCTTAACATCGCAGCAACGAGACCACGCCTGGCCCCCAAAGCCTTACGCAGTACCACTCGTATTCGTCAGCAGTCGGAAACCACGGGCTCCAGGCTCGCCAACCCGGTCCGCTGGAATAGGAGAGGCAAAATCCCAGCAGCAGCCACCGTCACAATTCACGTCCAACTTCCAACAATTGCATCCTATCCGCACTCTCACCGCCGCAGCGGACATGAAGCGGGCTGTGAGCGGTGGGCGCGGAGCAGAGATTGCACGCTTTTGCTGCCCGTCTTAGCAAGCATTTACACCATCGGATCGACGGATGATGGATCTGCCAGGTTCTTGCGAAATGAGGCCTTTCTATGCCACCCCCGTCACCCCGAAGCCAAGTTGGTTTTTACTCTCTGGCCCACCGTGTTAGCGAGCAAGTGCCTGCTAAAGCCTGGCCCCCTTCTTCGACATTCTCTCCCCTTTTCTAGCGTCAAATTTAGAAGAGCTTCTGCCCTTCACTCGCCCCCCACAGGCTGTGCCGCAGCTACGTATCCGTATTTCGTACGCTAGTCTCTTCGCTTGCAATCCTCCTCGGAAGGGGGCGAAGGATCAGGTCGCCTCGGTTCCTTCGACGGCCCTCTGGGGGGCGGTCAGCACTCAGACCTGACCAACGCCCAGCCTTCGTCGCAGACAAACACACAATTACTACCGTGCCGCCTCTTGGTGTTCAGCTTCTGCGGTACCGACGACAATTGGGGCGGGCTGCCAGACACTTCGCCGCACCATTCGGGTGGACTTGTCAATCTTGGGCAATTTTGGCAATGGGTGCAATCTGGATGCAACCAAGATGAAGATCATGCGACATGCGATCGTGGGACGACACCACCCCAATATCGTGTTATTGCAACGGGTACCAAGATGGCCATCGAGTCGTCCATGTTGACCGTCGTCTCCATCTCCCATCAGGGTTCTACCATCTTTAAACGGCTCGCATGGAATGAACCATAGTCGATGCGGCCTGACAACTAAGCATGCGTAAAGTAACACAAATGGGGACTTCATCAATCTCATCGACATCTTCACAGTTCGATATTGTCGGCTCAGATCAACAAGAGGCCCCCCAAGGCTCATTCGCCCGCTCGCACCCGGACAATGTGTCCGGCCCCGACGCACTTCCCGTTGCTCAATTTCGTCCTCATATTGCTGCGTTCCCCTTTTTCACCCCTCCCCTGCTGTAGACTGCTGGCGGCGGCCTTCCTGCTGGCCGCCATTGCGGAACGCATACGATTGGAGGAAAGTAAAAAGATGGTGAACACCGCAACTGAAGGGCGAAACGCGTCCCTACATATCAATGATACGCTCAAGTGAGCGTTGTTTTACAGGTTGAGACTTCTGAGACCACGAGTCTGTGATAAAGATAGACATTTGGAGTTCCAAGCCTGTCAGTCCAGTACCGAACTCCAGGGCCAAGGCTGTGATCTATCTATCTGGCTGACTGGTGATGACCACAATGTTAGCGTTGCGTCTTGCATGAACGACCTGAAACTGGGCGATTATCTGCTTCCTTTTACTCTACTTTCCCCCTCCTTGACAAGCCATTCAAGTGTTGGCAGCCAACCAGAGGAACGGGCGCACTTCATCTTGTTCCAACATGTTTCTCTCAAGCGAGCTATTCGGGATTCACCCGGGGGTCCATCCCTGCCGTCAATAACCAGGGTTTTCAATCTTCGTCCCAACTTTGAGTCGCCCATTCGGCTCCCACACATACAAACCCCGGGAAACCCATGGCCCAAGAAGGTTGTTTGGGTTAGCCGCGCCGCTGCAGGGGGCCACGGCGCGATCCACCATCACCCTGTTTATTCGTTTCATATCCGCACCCTCACTTTAATCGCAACGGCTTCATTAATGAAATCAACCACGCCCTACCCTCGGCTGCCGCCGACTAGCATGGATCTGACAGACGCCAAAGACTGGTTAGCCCACCAGATGGCCCCATCAGCCTCATCTCCTTCAAAGGGTCTTGCAGCTTGCCTGCAGCCTTGGCAGGGGAAGCGGATGAGACGACCGTCTCCATCACAGCGCTGGCGCCCTTCCTCTCTAGGGCGTCCCCATACCCTCCACGAGTCCACATTGCACTTTACTGTGAACTGGAGGCGCTGGATGTGCTGTTCGACCCTCAGGGTGTCAGGGGCCCTGGCAAGTCTGGGCACTGACGGAATCGCCAGCTCTAGCCGCGCGATGGGGAGGAGTCCAGATGTGCCCCTACACATTGGTTGCCTATGTCGACTTAGTGCGGTGAGATGGGTCTGCCACCGGAGATGGGCTTGGATGATTCGAGATTGAGAGGCAAGAGGGGGAGGGACGGTAGAGATGGGCTATGGACGTAGGAGATGTAGCCCGGAAGGGAAAGGGGATCCGTTGACTTACACACACAACCTCATCAACGCGTTATAAAAGTCTTCCATCCCACGCACGCTATCTTTCCCGTCTCTCTCTTTTCTCCATCATCACAACTGGTGTCATTCTCTCATTCCTTGTACTCAGGTCTCTCTCTTGTTGGCTGTGCCATACACTCATTTCGAACTAGACGTTCAACCACGCTCACTAAGCACAACCTCGCAAATCAACTTTCACTTCTTCACTCCAACTCTACACCTTTTTTGAGACTTTCGTCAAGAAACCAAATCAACCGTCAAGATGCGCTTCTCTTACACCGCCGCTGCTCTTGCTGCCCTCACCGGCCAGGCTGCCGCCCACGCCCGTGTCTACGCCCTCTGGTCCGACGGCGCCGAGATCCAGGTCGACGGCAAGTCCGGCCTCGAGTCCTTCATCCGCAGCCCCCCCAACAACAACCCCGTCAAGGACATCACCTCCAAGGACATTGTCTGCAACGCTGACCCCTCCGCCAAGACCGGCTTCGCCCCCGTCGAGGCTGGCAAGTCCGTCGTCTTCGAGTGGTACCACAACACCCGCGGCGACGACATCATCGACGGCTCCCACAAGGGTCCCCTCAGCACCTACATTGCCGAGTACACCGAGGGTGACGGCACTGGCGCCATCTGGACCAAGATCGCTGAGGAGAAGTACGCCAACGGCAAGTGGCCCGTCGACACCCTCATCGCCAACAAGGGCAAGTCCGGCGAGGTCACCATCCCCGCCTCCCTGAAGCCCGGCAAGTACCTCCTCCGCCACGAGATCATCGCTCTCCACGAGTCCGACACCACCTACGACACCAACTCGGCCCGTGGTGCCCAGTTCTACCCCTCTTGCGTCCAGATCGAGGTCTCTGGATCCGGCTCCGACGTTCCCCCCGAGAACTTCGACTTCCAGACCGGCTACAAGTACACCGACAGCGGCATCCACTTCAACCTCTACAACGACGACGCCTCCAGCTACAAGGCCCCCGGCCCTGAGGTCTGGACCGGCGGCGCCGGCTCCGGCTCTGGCTCTACCCCCGCCACCAGCGCTGCTCCCGCCGCCACCTCCAAGGCCGCCGCCACCTCTGCTGCTGCTGCCCCCACCACCCTGGCTACCCAGGTCAGCTCTGCTGCTCCCGCCACCTCTGCCCCGGCCGCTACCTCTGCTCCCGCTGCCACTCCCTCCAAGGCCCCTTCCACCGGCTGCAAGCGCCGCCGCGCTGCCCGCAAGGCTCGCCGCTCTGCTCACTAAGCGCTTGACGCCGATGAGGGGAGTGATGGGAGTTGTTGTTGAGAGTAATTAGAGTAAGCAGTTCTCAGAGTACCTTCGGGTCTCAAATGAGCTGTGGGAAGGAGTTTCACTTTTACACCAGACACCAGATGTGCAATCCAGGCTTACTGCGTCCTGCCCGGTGCACGGTATCCGAGTCGAGTTCACCTTTGAACTCGGTCTCAATCATTCTGCATTCCTGTACATAGTACCTTGTATAGCATTAAGCCTGCATATACCATGATTTAAGCGCTCCAATCGTGATCCCAAATGTGATTGTTCGAAATGTATGTGATGTTTGCATGACAGCGACTGTGCTTTCGTGTCAAGGCAAATATGACCAAGATGTCTTGGCAAAGGAATGCATATGACTTACTCCTTTTTCACGAAGCGAGCGAGGCTTTCGCATCTGTTGGTCGGAGCAGTCCGCCGTCGGTTGGATGTTTCCATCGGTCTTTCGCCGAATGATGCCCCCAAACGGTAATGAGCTAATTGGTCGTCTTATATTAAGTCAACAATTGCCGTCGCAGTTTGATGCTAGCTCTGACCGTGGGCCGCGTGGATGTCGCAATAAGCTCCACCTGGCTTGATATTGAGTCAAGATATAGCACATATTAATCGTGGTAGTGGACCATATTGAGCGTGCAATAGATTGTCTTGGCAAGATCATTTTCGCAACAACGTCCAAGCTTTCGTAGATCTCCCACTTCGGACGGCATACACAATGTCAGCGGGCAGAAAGACCTAAAGGCCTATGTTCGTACGGCGTAGTCTCATTTGTAGCACGAGTCATTGAAGCGCAGAAACGTTTGGATATTATTCAGTAGATATCGATACCATTCCCAATACCCGTCACCTAGGGTCATCTTGATAGGTCTGGTTCTTCCCCTGGCTCTCGATCTGAGCTTCCGGCCAACTGGACTCTCCTCCAGCAAAAGAACGCTCATCCTTAGTCTCCATCATCTCGTTCGGCAGCAACGCCGTGCTGATGACACAGCCTAGCATAACACCGCCGGCCAGATACAAAACGCCGTTGATGTTTCCGTTTTCGCCGTTTTCGCCGGGTTGCCCGTAAAGGTGCTGTGCAATGAGCGGACTTACAATACCAAACAGTCGGCCCCAGAACCCCGCAACACCGCAGGCCGTGCCACGGACTGGGGCCGGGAACGCTTCGGGGGTCCAACCGTAGAGAACAGCGTTGAACATGGACTGGAAGAAGTATTCCATTGCAAAGAGACCTTCGTTCTTGGCGCGTGTATCGACAGTTGAGAATAAAATGATCGAAATGCCCATCAAAGCGGATGAGATCACCATTGTCCACTTTCTCCCGATGGCCGGGACATGGTACATTAAAGCACCCAGCAGGACCCCAACGATTCCTGGGGCGTACGTGTAAATATACGCAGCGTATGTGGCCGATAGACTGACGTGATCTCTGCCGTTCTTCAAAGCCAGAATGCTGGGCAAGTAATGTCCTGCAGGATGGAATTAGTCTCGACTTTTACCGCAAATTTCAACATGTGCTTACCAGCTACAGTGAACCCCCAAAAGTCCATGATGTACGTCAGCCAGACCAAGACGGTCAGCCGGATCATGGGAAATCCGTCAAACAACATTTTGTATCGGCCAAGCTCAAGCTTCACCTTTTCAGGCCACTTCTTCTCCGTCTGTTTCGCACCACCGCCTAGCCCAGAAGAAGCGCTCAATGCGCTCCCAACAGAGCCGTCATTCTCATCTGACTCCAACGAATGAAACATCTCCAGCGTCAGGCCGCAACGTTTGCCGTTGACGTGAGCCATGTGCTCCAAAGTCTGGATCGCTCTGGCGTCGTGGCCACGGTAGATGAGATACTTTGGCGTTTCTTGAAACTTGAAGACGAAGAATCGGAGGACGAATACGAAAAGCGTGATGCCGCCGAGTGTGAAGAGCAGATATCGCCAGCCCATATTGTCGACCCGCGCGCAGCACTTTGTTCCGGGCGCGACGTTGTTGCATGACAGGAGCGGTCCTTCGTCGATCTGGGAAAAGTTGGGAGAGCATGAGAATACGGGGATGAAGCCGAAAGCGACGGCGCTGCAGACAATCACGCCGATCGGTTGAAATATGGACAGACAAGCCAGCAAAAAGCGCCTGTTCTGATCAATGTGTCAGAGGACCGTAAATACTCGATCTTTTGATGAGTTGACCAACCTGGGGAATGAACTCTAGAGTGATGGTAGTGTCGATTGGAATGTTGCCTCCCACCCCTACACCGACGAAAGCCGTCAATACGAGAAACGTGTTGTAGTTGTTAGATGCGCCCAGGCAGAGCCCAAATATCGATGCGATGAGGCAGGTCAAGTTGAAGGCCCATGTGCGACCTGGCAGAGGTAAGTTCAACTGCCACATGAAGGTTCCCGGGCAATCTCCAGATCAAGGACCTTTCGAGTTAGGAATGTGCCGAGATCGTCATACCGATGATATCCGCCAAGAATCCCCAAACGAATGCGCCGGCAGTCAACCCAGCGTTGAAGCTCGTCGCAATGTTCCCAGACTGGCCGTCCCCGAAACCCATCTCTTGTTGCAAAGGCTTCAGGACCAAACCGAATGCCTGCGCCCATAGCAAATCAAGCATGTATCCGAAGCCGCAGAGACCCCAGATGTACCACTGATATTTACCCATGCCCTGCGAGTCGATCTCGCGATTGATCAGCACGCATTTTTTCTCGTAGAGCGACAAGCCATCGAGGCCGCGGAGCATGGGGCTAGTTGCGCCCTGTCTGTCGACCTCACCCAGACCGTATGCTGGACCGCCTTCGAGCGGCAGCTTTGTTGTGTCGGTCGCAGGCATCGCGTCTGTCATTGCACAAAATGTGATTTTCGAGTGCAAGAAGGGGAAGACAATTTGCGACAACGGGTACATCAAGGTGATATGCGAAATGGAAGCATGCTCTCATAAGCGCAACGTAGTTAATTCTTTCTCGGCTGAGGCGTTGTGAGGCGGCTCACATGGGACGAACCGGCGCTTTCAGAGTCGTTGATGTCATGGATGGGGGGACCATGCGGGTGAGATGTATCATCATGTCATTTAGCTCCCGCAATTGGCTCCAAAGCAAAATGTGGTCGCATCCTGCATGTGAGGAAATCCAATTGCGGACGGAAAACTCATGCAAGAACACACAATCCGGTGTACGGGGATCGTCACATGGTTGGCTGTGTCTCACTTGCACCACGTGGGGTGCTGTCGCGGTGGCCGGTGATTGATGCACGGCGGGACTGTCAGACTCAGGCTAAAAAGGACGTTGTGTAGGCGCGCATCGGGTTGTGATAGGGTCGTAAGAAATGACATGACGATCTGCCGGAGCTTTTGTAGCGGGCCAAACCTCTTGGCTTGAACTGCGAGTGTTCCGTCATTGATCTTTGGTTCGGGGCTAACCGGCACCCAAACTGACGTGACGTCTGGTCTAGACCCTTATCCGGCGAATGGTCGTTGGTTATCTAATGCGCGGTCGCATTTCACAAAGTCGTAATTCGGGATATCCGAGGTTGAGATCGGAGAGCAGCGATCGGAACTTTTGTATCTGATGCCTCAGATTCACTAGGATTGTTGGGAAATTCGCGATGATGGCCGAGCAAGGATGCCTTGATCTTATAGAGTTGCCCAATCTGTGTCTCCTTTGTGAAAAGTTCAAAAGAGTACTCCAAATGAAATTATTAACCATGAGATGTCAAGGCATACATGTTAAATGCGACGACGATGCTCAAATTTCGGGGGGAGTGGCAAGTGAATGATGCCTGAAGCCAGATTGAAGAGGTTCCAAGAAGATTGCCTTGAGATCCTCGTTGAAGGTTACTTAAATAAAAGATAAAAGACACAAAGTTCAAGGAACTGTTGCCAGATCTTAATTCACCTGAGACATAGTCATTGCCTAGAATGATCGCTGTTATCAACGTTGAATGGAAAAATAATTTGTTCAACTTCACATGGAGATATTGTATTATGACAAATGGCCCTTTAACGCTGTGTTTCATATAAAGACTTACTGCATATGACTAGACAGGTCGCTCAACAAACGGACTCGATTCGCGTTTAGTAGTCCATCTCCTCTTTCTTTGTTGGAGTTTACTCCTGGGATCTACCAGCGTCTCTCTTGGCCTCTGTGAATACTAAATCTGTATCCACTGATAGCGTTGTCCTGGTATCCAAAGTCTAGCCAAAAGTCCCGACTTTCATTCCCTTGTTTAGTTCACGTCACCATCGTGGCTTAACAAGTTCATTGACCGCTGACATTAGACGAACCATGGTCTTTTGCGGTCTCTCAACTAAGAGCAAACCGTTTTAAGCCCTACGGAGCTCCTCATATGCGTTTCCGGGTCTATCAGGGGCAAAGAACCCCGCAATGGTGTCGTTGCCTAGATCACCATTCCCCTCCAAATGCGCCACGAGATCTAGACATTGGGGAGCGGCCGTTGGGGGCTGTGGCTTTCGGTGGCGCTTGGTTGTTGAATTGTTTCCCTCGCCACTGCCATACTATTTCACAGGGCTGGGTGTGGCGGAAGAGAAAGCTCTCCAAGCTGTCCGTTCTCTGCAGATCACCTCGTAGCTTGCATCTCTCGCCCAGACCATGCGGCGTAGGCTGATACACGCTCACACGCTGTACACTCACCCTCACCAGAAATGAGCCTCCTCTGGACTAAAGTGCGGCAGAATGGTAGCACACAACAGCCGCTTACGAAAAAGTTTCACGTCCATCAGTTCAGGGAACGGATAACGGTCTGTCCATTTCAAGCCTCCACCACGTGCAGTCCGTGCCTCGCCACCGGAGCTCTCCTCTGGGACGCGAACGCGAGCTCGTCGTAGAGGAGCCAAAGAACGCCTCATGTTTGAAGTTGGAGGGGTATGCAGGATGCGGAACCAAGCTAGAATCAAGGCCACAGCGATGCTCGACTTCTAGGCGAAACCTTGAGCCTCCGGAGGTCTCCTTCGAACTGAGGTGGAATCTGCCGAGCGAGAGACTGGTGGTTGATGTCGAGATAAGCTGTGGAATGTTGGCAATATGTTTCCTCGGATTCTGCACTGATTGCCGGCTGCGCAATGTTTGTGTCGCAGAAGTTTAGAGTTAGCTTCGCATTCCTAACCCGCAGATGCTGGTCGAAAAAAGCATCCCGTCGTGCCGTCGCACCGTCGCAGGTCTCGCATTCCGATCCAGGCTTATCTTCGACACATCCGCCTAGCGTGTAAGAGAGTCCTTCGTGTTCCCAGGTTTTCCCGAGTTTGCCATGAGAAAACGTGCTTCGCTGGGACCACAAGAAAGATCCACGGCCCCCAAGGGAGAGAAGAGATCGGACTTTGTTGCTTACGCGCGAAGGACGTGCTTCCATGCAGGAGCCACTGCAGCAAGCACAGACAAAGGCAACGTCAGAGCTTCACATGCAAAGCAAAGGCCTTCTTCCTCCTCTTCCCCTCCCTCAGCCCAGAGCCAAACTTTGGACGAAAATACCGTCTGGTCTAGTGCCGTTCTAGCACCCCAGCAAGCAGTCTAGCAACTCCAGCTGCTGTCCTAGCTCCTGGGTGTGTGTGCTCACCACCCTCTCCTGCGGCTCACCAGAAAGAGAACCCTGAACCCAATTCGAGGAAGAGGGACGAGAGAAGACGGGGTTCTGCCCATCTGTGCATCCATTCTCTTAGGGCTGTTGCTCGGGGACCCATACCAAGATTCCCAAGCTGCGAGAGTGCCATTTAGCCGCAGCGGGATCGACCCGGCTCTGGAACCCGTGCAGCCGGGGCGACCAATGCCCCAATGCCATCCGGTCTTTCTTCCCCCCTCCTCCAAGGTGAATGGGGAGGCAAGAGTCAATGGTTCGTGTTTGCTGCAGGGTCGTTGCTGGATGCAGGGCACGGTAAGACTGGGCCAGCTTGTGCGGGTAGGCTGCAGACTTCAGCTCTCTCCTATTCGTGGGGTTCCAGGGGTGTGAGACATCGTCTTTCCAGTCCCATTGTCTCTCGTGTGAAGAAAAAGAGACATCGACAGTTGGAAGTGCCTGCTCCAACATCGTGATCATCGGAGCTGTATCCATCATGGCAACGGGCTTTTCGGGAGTAAACAAGCCAAAGAAAATTTCCAAACAAACTTCCCAAACCATTTTCTCACCTTCCCACTACTTTTCCCAATAGGCGGCACCTAAGAACCTAAGATGGTCAAGGCACGGGGCGAATTTGGCCGAGGAATGCGCCACCACGCAAGCGCTGCGCGCCGTCGTCTGCAACAAGATTGCCCGAGCGGCGAAGAATGATAAGGGAGACCGTGGACGACGAGACATCAACAAAACAAACGCAATAGAGGTTAAAAGTGCATGTGAGATCCTCACGAAGCGTGTGAATATCCTCCACTTTTGCTGAACCCCTCCCTGGTTGCTATTATTCGATTCCTGAATTCCATTCTCGGGCTTGCTTGTTGATCATATCAGCTCTCCATCAGAAGAATTCCTTTGCCGTCAGATAAGCTGCTCTGCAAAGCTTTACATCTTTAATCCAAACACCGAAACCGTTTGCCTCCTCCTCCTCCGGGAGCTCTCCCCCCCACAACACCAGTCCGCGATGCCTTTCATCGCTTCGAAACGATCACCAACAGCCTCGCCCAGCATGCCATGGCTATCAAGATCTCCGTCCTACAACTCGCCAGCATCATCACCCCGTCTATCAAACTCAGCAAGGAGCTCACCAAGGACGTCACCGAGATCGAGCTTGTGCGGTCCGATAAAGAACTATGGCCCGTCCGTGACTTACATCCCGCCATTGATCGACGGAGCTTGCGGAACAGTCCCACTGGCACAGAAGCAGCCGTTTGCGTTGCTCCAGGATGATCTGAGGGAAATGTGGAAGATGCTGCCGGGGCTGATGACATCGCTGAGGACACACGTCGCCAACCACCGCGCACACCTGTCTCGAAGCCATCTGAAGGACATCATCGTGCAGCTCAGCTTGGCCATCGTTGAAGTGGGAATGATCACGCTCGCCGTACCGATGTTCATGATTCTTCCGGGGATTCTCTTCGCGGCATGGCTGGCGTTGTCCATGAGCTTGGTTTTGGCTCTCAGCTGGCTGATGAACGGGAGCAACATCATTGTCAACTGCGACGAGTTCGGCAACAGCACATCAGAAGCAGAGGAAGACGAGGAGAAATGGATCTTCATCGGCGGCATGGGCACAAGGTGAGTTTTTCGTGTTGGTCCTTTTGCATCACTTGAATAACACTAACACAACAATCCAGCTCTACACACCTCTCACAATGCACTCTCCCCCGCCTAGCCCGCCTCTTTGGCAAGTCCTTCAGCGGCATCCAGATGGCCACATACGGCCTCCCCTTCGACATGCTCCTCCTCGCCATCCAACGCTGCTTCCCCTTCCAGACCCAAGCCTCGCGAGCGCTCTACTCCGAACTTCGCACCGCCCTGCTCGACGCCGCCGTTACCCGAGTCGCCGTCCTCGCCCACAACAACGGCACCCTCCCCACCGCCCTCGTCCTCGCCCGCCTCTGCGCCGACATCCAGCCCGAGAAGCTCAACAAGCTCGAGATCTACACCTTCGGCGCCGCCGCCTCAGAGTTCGTCGTGCCCCTCGGCGACAGCCGCAAGTCGCGCTTCGAGGAGGCCGTCATCGACGAGCGCGGCCCGCACATCGAGCACTTCGCCTACGCCAACGACCCCTTCGCGCAGATGGGCGTTCTGCGCGCCGTCAACAAGAAGTTCGACGGCCGCTTCTGCGGCGGCGTCTACATCATCCACAACCAGATCCCCCAGCCCTCGGGCCACTGGGTGCCCGACCAGCGCCCCGTCATGCTGCTGACCGAC